AAGAAGTTCTTCCTAATGTCCAGTCTAAATCTGCTCTCTGCTAGCTTGTGGCCATTATTTCTTGTAACCCCCGGGGGCGCCTTGGTGAATAAATACTCACCAATTCCCTTCTGTGCCCCTGTGATGAACTTATAGGCAGCCACAAGGTCGCCTTTCAACCCTCTCTTGAGGAGGGTGAAGAGGTTCAGGTGCCCCAGTCTCTCCTCATAGGGCTTGATCTGCAAGCCCTTAACCATACAAGTGGCCCTTCTCTGGACCCTCTCCAGGTTATCCGCATCCCTCTTAAAGTGCGGCACCCAAAATTGCATGCAGTATTCCAACTGCGGTCTGACCAGTGCCCGATAGAGGGAAAGTATCACCTCCTTGGATCTGTTCATCATGCATCTGCTGATGCACGATAAAGTGCCATTAGCTTTTCTGATGGCTTCGTCACACTGCCGACTCATGTTCATCTTGGAGTCCACTAGGACTCCAAGATCCCTTCCCACTTCCGTGCCACCCAGCAGGTCATTTCCTAGGCAGTAGGTGTGCTGCCATTTTTCCTCCCTAAGTGCAGCACTTTGCATTTCTCCTTTCCCCAAGCTCCAGTTGAATCAGTTTGCACGAGGTGATGAAAATGTTACTTTGTTTTCTGCTGCACTGCAGGCAACTGCGGCCAGTTCTGGTAATATGGAAGAGCTTAACCCTGTCCCTTGGGCATGGGCCAATTTAGAGGAGGCTGTCTGTTGCTTGTAGCAGTTAGCACTAACTGAAATCATTTGTGCAACAGTTTGGATTCGCACGCCAGATGCAGAAGTCATGACAGCACCGTTGTGGAGGAGGTTTTGCCGATGAGCACCAACAGAGTGCACCTCAGCCCTGTTGGCCTTGGAGCCAGAGGCAGTGAATCACACGGTAAGAAATGCGATCCGGTGATTAGTGCAGCTTTTACCCATTTTGCAGAAGCCAGGGCTTGCCAAACCAATGAAAACCACCAAGGCCATGGCGGTGGCCTCAGCAAAAGACAAACCCCCTGACCACCCTGAATTGTTGGGAAAAGCCGGGAAAGGCCGGCCCAAGACTCCACAAGCAAGAATGTGGAAAGACTTGTTAGCTGCCAGTTTCAATAAGGTGCAAATTGATGGACTGCCCACCAATGTTTTGCGAAGGGGCAAGCCCAAAAATGGAGCCTTCTTCGCCACTGGCAGAGTCACCGGAGGGATTCTCTGCCCTGATGGCAGAACTGTTGACATTTTCCCAAGCACATGCAAGGCCGCCAGACTTTACCCCCCCCGCCCCCCACCGATCACGTGGTCTAGGGAGCCTGGCTGGCCTGACCCCCAAAGAAAGGGGTCACAATGCAGGCAGTCATGGGCTGGGGACCAGTATCTAAAGTTAATATTAGCCCCTTGGTTCAGATACCCACACAGATTCAATTAGGCAAAAGTGAGAAGTCAGTTGATATGCTATTAGACATGGGTGCCCAGTTTCACATTTTAGATTCCACAGACTGGAAGGGGGAGAAAGGAACCCCTTATCAAGTAATTGGGGTTGGAGGCACTAGACGACCAGGACATCTGGTCTGAGCGACCTTCACGCTACCTAATGGCTCTAAGGTAACAGCAGCAGTAATACTTAAAGGGGGATCAAGATTACTAGGACTTAATGTACTAAGAGGACAGCAGTTTGCCCTTGAGCAAGACAAATGACAGTTTGGGTGGGCAGTGCCTCACCGGGAACCAGAAGAAATGGCTATAGTGGCTGTAACTAGATGTAGCATGATCCCATTAACCCTGCCTCCCATGAAGGGAGTGCACCGGCCCCAGTATTGAACTCCCCCCGAGGCCACCCAACCTATCCACTGTATTATCAGCCAGCAGTTGGAGGACGGGACTATTATCCAAACCCACTCTCCGTATAACAATCCAGTATGGCCAGTGCATAAGCCAAATAGAGGGTGGCAGCTGCCTATTGACTTTTGAGCTTTGAATGCTAATACTGACCCCTTGATGGCTGCCGTCCCGTCACTACCAGCCTTAACAGAAAGCATCCAGTGTTATGGGCCTGCGTGGATGGGATCCATTGATATCAAGAACATGTTTTTTGCTATTCTCATCCATGAGAGTCACTGGCCAGTATTTGCTTTCACGTGGATAGGGCAGCATTATACCTACATTGTGTTGCCCCAGGGGTGGATATAAAACCCCACACTGGCTCACGGGGTTCTAGCTACCGTAGTTCATGAGGTCCAAGAAAAGTACCCTGACGTATGCATGTGGAAGTATATAGATGACATCATGTTGGGCAGTCAAGACAAAGAGGCTGCCACCAAGGCATTTGAATCATTAAAAGAGAAAGTGCATACCTTCAGAGTCACACTGTCTGATCCAAAAGTCCAAGAAGTAGGGCCCCAGTGTGAATTTCTAGTAATAGAATGG